TCTGGCAGACACATTCCAAAACACTGTCTTTTATGGATCACATACACGAGATTCCAAAGCAAAGCAAATATTGTTGAGGAATTTGGGTCCATCTGGGGTTTCAGAGCAGGCTTGGAAAAATGAACCAGAACCAAATTCTCCAGTTTCTCACACCCCCACACACAAAACTTTATGCCTTCTGTTTACTCTATTGGCGACCTCCAACCCTCCTTCCCGTTCATCCCTCAGTTGTTCATCCCTTTTTCCCTCAACCCTTCTTCCCTTCATCCCTAATTTCTTGATTCCTTCCTTCATCCTCTCATCCCTTCCTTCATTCATCTCTCGTTTACTCCTCCCTTCATCCCTCATCAGATTATCGCTCCATCCTACATCCCTTTGTCCGTTCATCCCTTTATCCCCCTCCTCTTCATCCCTTCTTTCCTTCCTCCCCTCATCCCTTCATCTCTTCCTCCATCACTCATCACTTCCTCCCCTCATCCCTTCCCTTCATCCCCCCCCCCGATCCCTCCTTCCTTTATCCTTTCATTCCTTCATCTTCCATTCAGTCAATAAACCTTTAACCTCATATTAAGTTTTGGTATGGGCCTTACTAATGAGCAGCTGATTAGAGCTGCTGAAATAGATCCTACATCACAGAAGCAATAATCTGCCTGATCAGGTAAATTTTGGTTGCCAAACAACAACTAGTTAGGTCTGATGATTAAGGTTAGTTCAGGCTGTTGTAAAGCAGCACGTTGTGTCACATGACTCAGTCGGTGATGAATCCGACCCTCTCAAGTTATGCAAGTTCTTCAAGAGCTGCAGTCTTCATGGGGCATCTATCTGCAGCAAGTCTATAAATTGATCTGAAAAATAATTGAATGTATTTCAAATTTAGCTGAATCCTATGTTACACAGAGTTCCTAAAAAACAAATATTTTTACTATTCTCTGGTTCTTTATCTGTTGACAAACTGTATAAATCTTCTCCTTATCATCTCCCACAGGACTTTTTGATTTCAGGTTCTGGTGATTAAAAAGCTTAATTTCCAGCAGTTCTTGCTCAAAATTAAAGCACTCAGAATATCCAATGTGAAATTATATTTCATTGTTCTTTGAGTGCTGCAGTGAGGGTCATTATGAAGGCTAGAATTAAGTCTGACTGAAACTTTATTTTAAAGTTTGTACATGTAAATGTTTGTAAATATTGTAATATTTGTAAATTTTAATGAGGAAAGAATTATTAGAGAACTTCCTGCAACTTTAATTGAATTTCTTGATTTCAGATGTTGAATTAATCAGAAAATAGATAATATT